ATACCTGACATTGGACCAATTATACGTTCACCTTTTCTCATGGTCTGTCCGTTTTATTTTTACCCAAATAGAGTTGTTTATTTTTTTACGCAATTAAAACCTTTATCTGAATTGTTTTATCGGAGTGGGATGAATATTTTTAAAATTATGTTAGCATGGAATGGGAAAAATAGCGTTGCAGATACAGCATCAGTAGGTATTGAGATGACAATGGAAACTTAAACTGATTATTATCCAAAAACGTGAAAACATACCGTTTGATTATCACATAAGTCATTGTAGAGTGTCGGGTGAAAAACACAAATAATTACGAGAACTTCTAGCGATCACATGTGCGAGTTCCAGCAGTCAAACGCAACCGCGTAACACCACACATCTCAACAAAACACAAACTAGTCTGACGGTGGGAATGACAATTTTGACACAGAAGACGGCCTCGAAGTTCGAATTACGAGGAAATGTCACGTGCGGCAGCACCGACAACGATGCGAGATGGATTTCCTGCTGTAGTCAGTCGTAGACTTGTTCTCTATTGGAGGTGGTCGCTAAGTTTCAATGCTTTGCATGTAAAAATAGGTGCAATTGATATTCTCAACTTATCAGAATTAATACTTAAATAGGACGTGATTTTATGTGGGAAGAAAAGATGTTTTTTACTTTTTTAATGTTAAAGCAGATATTTTCTTCATCCTCCTTTGTGCTTGGTGACATCCGCGTATGTACCTTCATTTGACCAAATTTTCAAATGCGGCCTTAAACGTACAATGTCGAAAAAAGAAACACAATTTTTATTCATTACTTTCGACGTACTTTGGTCAAAAAATTGTTTCTCTGAAACGATGGCATCTGGCTGTCGGTTCGATGATTACCTATTAATTTTTGAAATATTGCCAGTTGCATTTTTTTTTGATATTATAATCCAAGTTCCTTAAAATTTCGCTGCAAAATATATTTTTATCAGGGTTTTCGCATCCATAATAATAATAATATATCTTTATTTAAAGTATATGTACATACATTAAATAGCGTCTAAATAAGAATATTTACAATTTACTGATCTTGGTGTAAAACTCTTCCATAGTGTATGGTTCCATTCTGACTAGAATATTAAAAATTTCTTTCTTTAAGATTTTAACAGTTGTATCCATTCCGGGAGGTTATTGAATATTTTTATGCACTGGTAATAAGGACCATTTTCAGTCCCTGTGAGTCGAGGGTGAGGAAAACTAAAATTCTGTGTGCGTGTTGCATAAACAGTTTGTGATTTTTTAGGAGTAAAACAGGATCTATTTTTTTAAAAAGTACATGACGCACTCCTGTATGAACACTGCAGTTACTGTTAAGACATTAAGTTTTTTGAACTTTCCTCTGCACGACTCTCTACTTTCTAGACCTAGAAGTATTCTGACTGCACGCTTTTGTACTATAAATACTTTTTCAATGTCTGCAACTCCCATACAGTAGTATTCCATATCTAATATGACTTTCAAAATTAGCATGATATAACATCTTTTTAGTATCTATACCTATGTAGTTTTTTAGAACCCGAAACGTATAATATACCTTATTTAATTTACCCACAACATAATTAACGTGAAATTCCCAAGTTAACATATTGTCCAAGAACATCCCCAAGAATTTGATCTTATTGCTTAGGTCTATTTCACATCCATTGATATTTATCGTTTTTGGTTCAGCTACTTGGCTCTTGTTCGTCTTGAATAGTACTACATTTGTTTTGTTATTATTAACAACCAATTGATTTTTATGAAACCAATGTTCAACTGTCATCATAAAGCTCGTGGTTGCGTTCTATACATTTATATCATTATTCACTAATCGTAAACTTGTATCGTCAGCACAGTTCGTTATTTTACAATTTTCTACTCCTGTAAGAAATTCTGTTACGTTATTTATGTAAAGTACAAATAAAATAGGGCCACTGACTCTTCCCTGTATCTCCTTTTTTTAGAACTGGTATGACTACAGCAAGCTTTAGTTGTTCTGGAAAGACCCCATAATTTAACGAATTATGTATATCAGTCGTTGAACAATTGCAACAATTACAAATTTTAATAGGTTACTGGACACTTCATCAAACCCGCTACTATGTTTATTTTTTTAATATTTCAAATAGTTCCTCATTGTCCACAGTGTCCAGACAAATGTTTACCTGATTTAACTCTACACCTGAGCTAAAAATTTTTATATGTTGTTTCGGTATTCGATCAGGTCCTGCGTTTAATAAAAAATCGTTAAAATTATTTGCTAAAACACGCTATCACCTTCTATTTTTATTTCTTTCCCATTAGATTTGCCATTAATTTCGTTAACAATTGCCCCAGCACTTTTACATTTGTTATCTGAATTTTCTGGTCCATTTACATAACTTTTTTTACCTTCTTTTAGCAGATTGTCATATTCTTTCTTTTTTAAACAGTACAATTCTTTATAACGACAGTCATTGGTTTTCATTACATAAAGTATATCTAACTGATTTTTACATTCTCTTATCTGCTTAATATTATAAAAGTCTTTTGGTTTTTTTTTTCTTGTGTACAGAAATTCTCGTTAATGGAAAACATTCATTAAATTTAAAAAAATATATATTGATCGCAAACCAGATGCTTTTCTAATGTATACACACATTCCCACTTGGTATCAAATAATGTTACTTTAAATAAGGTTTTATTTCGTTCATTAAAGTTACGTTTTTCTATAAAGGTAATTTTTTGGTGTTTAATTTTAAGTACTAATTTCTGGGCAGTATGATCAGATATGAACGAATTTAGAACTTCAGAAGTAAAATCTCCTCCAAAATTTGTTAATATATTGTCTATGCATGTTTTGCTGTTAACTGTTACACGAGTATAATCATATATGGTCTGGAACACATTAAACGAGTTAATCATTGACAGAAAGTCACTCAGAGTCTTACTATTGGACTTAAAATCTATATTAAAGTCTCCTGCACATATAACATTATTTGGCTTACTTGTAAGGACATCTAACACGCACTCTAATTTTATGTAAGAAAACCTTAACATCTCCTGCGGGTGGTCTATACACTGCAACCACTGTTATACGTTCAACTCCCCTTTCCATGTCACACGCACAACACTCAAATACGTATTCTTCAGCAAGCTGGTTTATATCTAGTCTTACAATACTTTGTATTGCCCAGCTTGTGTAAATTGCATAGCCCCGTGCCTATTTTCCTGCCGCCTGCAGAAAGTTGTGACTAGTCTGAATTTTTCTATACCATAATTTTGTAGTTGTATTTGCGTTTTCCAATGCTCCGAGACACACAATACTTGACAATCTAAATTGAGGTTGAGAAAATCCTCCAACAGATCAACTGAATTTCCAATTGACTGAAGATTTTGATGAACAAGGCCGTTCTGAATCTCTTTCATCTTTGTTGTGCACTGGCTATTCGTGGTCTTATCATTTATTTCTAAAAAATTTCATCATAATTAATTTGCGATATAGTGCGTTGTGTGCGTTTAGATAAACTGGGCAGTTATTGCTTCTTGCCAAGTGATTTACGTGTTGGTAGCCCATACGATTACAGTTTGGGCAAGACAACTACGGTGCTTCACATTCTCTCTCTTTTGCTGGCAATACTTCGCCACATGCCCAAAACCACAACATCTAAAACACATAGGCAGTAGTACATATTCTTGAGCATAAATTATAACTAGGTCGAAATTTATTCTTTTTTTAAGAACCATTTTGCTGTTGTCGGGGGTGCTTGCAGTATCCAATTCTCCTTGAGAGGGTTTCTGCAACTTTTTTCGCTATAATTTTAATTTTTCTAGTTTCATTTCATGCATTAATTTCTGGATTGAGACGAAGTAGTTCATCCTTGAAATCTGCATCCGTACAGCCTTTTTCAATTCCTGTCAGCATAAACATGAGATCTGTTGTACCTATTTCCTTGACTTTAATATCACTTTTATCTTCTAGGGCTACTTTTAATTTCTCTTGTTGTGTTTTACTATGATTTTGCACAATTATTGCTCCACTTTTAAGATGGATTATATTTTTAAACCCTCCTTCTACATCCTTATCCTTTATAGTTTCTTTTAGCTGTCTAATAGTAGCTTTATGATCAGTAACATCACAATAGTTTCCAATTTTCTCATGGGCGGTGCAGTCCCTGGTTTCGTAATAATCTTATTTTTCTGGGTTGTAGCCATATTTTCTGTGGCAGCAGATGCGGATGGTTTTCTTTTTCAAGCGCCCCCAATCGATATGCCATTTTAGTAAGTGTTTTTAGTATTTCCATTGTTGAGCACCTTGTTATATTTTGACTAGTACCATCATCATTCACTTCGCTCTTTCTACCTATTTCCATTGCATATTCTATATTATCAATAGCTTTTAACACCACATTGATCATTTGGTTTCCCTCATAGGCTTCCGAAGTGGGCTTTTCATCAACTTATGTTTGTATGTGATACTGTAGCATCCTTTTTCCTTTTACTATTTTTTCTGTCTGTTTCTGGAGTATTGCCCAACCTGTGCCTCTTCCCTGTTTTGTCATCAATTTCTTGTTCACTAAAATCCGAATCAGTGTTATTTGAGACCTTAATTGGTGAGCGTGCAATGGAATTCCTTGGTTTGAAAACTTCATCTGAATATTTCTCAAATTCCTTATTTTGTTGAATGTTAAAGATCCCACCGCCACTGTGGTTTTTGTTTTCTTTTCGAAGGCTTGCTTTTATCTTTTGCCTTTTTTGTAGTCTGTTCCTACTACTCGATTTATTTCCTCCCGTTATAGATTTAATTTAAATGAACCTAAAGAATTACTTCTCTTTTTTTGCTCCGATTTTGATGACACTTTTTTTCTACCACTATTTTTTTTCCATCACTTGAATTATTCATGTTACACTTTTTACTAATATTCCGTTCTCTAATAACAAACTACAATTTACAATAACTTGAGAGCGCTACACCGACAAGTCCGTTCGCGTCAATCGTCGCTAACTAATTAATTGCCTAAATAATGAGTATATTTAGAAAAACATTGTTACGATTTAAGCTTAGGTACATTAAAAAAAGCAATATTTCAAAATATTGTTCGGTGGCACTGGTGACACATTATTGAATATTCCGTACATTACATTTTATCCCTCTCATTCCCTGTTCAACATTATTTTTATTTATATCTTAGGGGACAATGAAGAAAAATGACTATTAAAAAGAACACTTTTATCGAATAACTTTTATTAAAGTTCATTTCAAAATGATAATTTTTACTAAAATATAGAAACGTTAGTTTTTACATTTATTTTGGTTTGATTAAAAGCAAAAGTCAAGAACTTAAATCGTTCAATAAAATAGTTTAAAATAGTTCTTATATGTTGCGGACTTTAATAGGCGATATATTAATATTAATACAATATTATTAGACGATAAAATCAAAATATTTTATTACCCAATTATTTACATAAGTATTTATCGAATGATATTTTAATTTGCAAATTCCAACAACTTCTTTTCCTATTGCATTAGACAACCATTTATATTGAATATCTTTGTAATGTAAATATTTATATTCGATATTTTTAATATTTCGAACACCGCTCTAAATAGTATTTAGCAGAAATTATCGAAAGAAAGTAATAAATCTAAAAATGTACCCAAAAATTAAAAAAGATTCAGAAGTTATTGCATAATATTCGCATATAACAAACCAAAACTTGTTGGTGCCACTTTGTATAATTAAAACATTATTTTAATAATGTTGCTTAACGGAACTGAAGATTTATATAATGCAATAATAATTAAATAATCGAAAAATAGCAATTCGTACAACTAAATATGAGAAGAATAATTTTTTTTTTTGCAGCAGGTTGTAGGTTTCATTCACACCTGGAGCCTTGGGTGTTGTTATGACGTATTGACTTCAATCTAGTCAGCCGTCTAAGTAAAGACAAACGCGAGTTCATTGAATTAAGGAAAAAACATTGCAAGGAGGGGACAACTAGTTGAAAAAGAATAACTTTATGAAATGAGCGAAAAAAACAAAAAGAGTTTCCCGACGTGCTTCACACAATATTGTTTTAAATTCTACTATCATTAACATCTAACATCATATAGAGTACTGCATTGGCAGCATGATGTAAATATTATTTTTGTAGATTTTGAATTCTTTACCACGATTTCATTCAATATGAACAACAAAACAATCAGGCGATGCAGAGCCGTTACCCTACAATTTCGCGCCAGTCTGGAAAAGTTAATGGTGACAGTGTTGCCACGTAACAAAGTAGAATATATCTTGTAAGATATACAGAGACTGGGTCTCGCGCCTCTACCGGGTATACAGTTGAACTAACAATATACAAGAAAATTCGTAACAAGGTAGGGTATTATGAAACACACGCTCCTAGAAATTTGAAAAAAAAAGTATTAAATAAAACGGCTAATTTCTCTCGACGCATCTTCAATCGTTTTTCGGATCCGCAGTTTCCGGATTCTTCTTCTTGATCGACTCCTCTCGAATATTTTTGATCCACTTTCTTTGACTTGCTTCATGACTGCCCTTGAAGCTAAAGAAAATTAATCACTAACGTTAGATGAAAAACTGTGCGTTTATGAAAAACTGCGGTCAATCAATATCGCCAATCTATTTGATTTAAATATTCACTTATTTTTAAATATGTTCTGTATAAAGGAAAAGGTGAAAACAAGTTTGTTGAGTGTATTTTTATGATATTGTGATATATTTTCAATTTAATTCGTACTTATAATAACGCAATGCCTGTACTAAGATGACGAAGAGAATCAAAGAGAGAAACTACATATGATATGTTGTTATATTTGTGAAACATTTTCGCGTTCCCATGTATTAATGCAAAGAGTAAGCGAGTGCCCAGGCGGCGCGGAGTTGCACGACATTTTCCATATCACTTGCTCATCTTATATATAGGTATGCAAAACCCCAACCCATTGGTAATAGGAAGGGGAAAACTTTGAAATTTTAAAATGGAACCATGTTCTTTTACATTGTCGGTAGATGTTTCTGTAATCTCAAAAAACCATTTATCTTGTTTGCCAAGAAATACACAATTAAATGTTATGAATCCGACTTTACTGTTATTATACCTTCGTTTAGACATATTTTATTTATCATAATATACACTAATCATTTACAGTTGTCAAGAGAAAATGCTGGAAAACATGGGTGTCATTGTTATCCCGAACTCGGTTTCTACAAAATTTTGTAATATTAATCATAGCGTGAGTACTGTTGAGACAAATTCATTTTTTTTGTTAGCTCTATCTCTGCAAGCAAAGGGGTGGGGGCGCTCAAATATATTGTTAAATAATCCAAATCTATCCAAAAAGATTTTGCGCATTTTAATAAACTTGGTCATTTCTAAGCTATAAACTGTGATATGAGTGACGCGATTGCTTATCTTAATGCAACAATATGACTTCTTTATGTCATTATATAGTCCAATAAGGGCCTTACAATTCAGGGGAAACCGCGTCTCAATATCTTTATCCTAACCTATAATATTAATAAAAGAACTGCTAAAAGAAGTTGGATTTTATAAGTTGTTACTAATGTCTAATTTCCCGAAATACTATTTAATATCGAAATAAAATGTAGTTATTTATCTTTTTTTTTTTTTTAAATACTTTTGAGAGCTGACGTTTCTACGTTTTGACATGCTTATCCCTTTTTGAAATATTTCGTATTATCACTTATTTATTCATTAATAATTAGGTTTAGTCAACTAACCAAAACTAATCAATTAATAAATCTTGAATTATTTAAATAGCAAAATGTGTATTGATATAATATTCATTTTTCTTAATTCCTAACGCGGAGATTTGTAGGCCCTGCATTACGATGAATTTAAATAAGACATTTTCAGTGCAATAATGTTTAGCAAATTTATACTAATGAAGAGTGTAGGTAATCGAGAAACTTTGACAAGCATCAAATAACGACATGAAAGATGCGTAGCGTTTGGTTAGATGAAAACAAAATTTGTTTTCATGGCAATCTTGATAATTAGAAAAGATTATACCTAATAATATTAACAATTAATAAGATGAATATATTTTTATATTTTGAGTTTAAGGAAGCCTACATTATAGATCCTTAAGTACAACATAACGAAACATGAAAACGTTGGCACTGAGATAAGGTGGTATAATCTTAACTACGTATTAGGTACATATAATTTTTTTTAATTTTCAAAATTCCTCCACATTAAAAAAGCTTGTAAACTTCTATAAACATACCTCATTTCGGTTTCAGTTTTAACTAGTTCTAACTGCAGAAGAATGAGTTTTTCTCTAATCTCCCTCAATTTGAATACATTTTCCTTGACATCAGCATTACTCTCTATGTTTGCACTTAAATTGTCTAATACCAAGTCATATTCTTCCCGAACTTGCTGGATTTTTTCAGTGACATCTTCATTGGCTGTTTACAAAATTAATATTTTTTCATGCAGATATGTTTTGTCCATCACTAATTCTGTCAAGTGGGAATGGAGATCTCCAATTTTTAATTTTAACATATTGTTGTCCTCATAGAGTTTATTACTCTCAATCATTGTTACTACTGGGACACTTTGCTCTACAATCTACAACTGCAAATGTTTGATCTGCAGTTTTAATTCATTAATTTCTGTAGATTTGGATCTTCATTGGTGTAATGGTAATTTTTCGCGCTCTGTCAGCATATCTCAAGGTCGAAAGAGTTTCTTCCACATTATAGTCAGCAGGGCTAACACATGCTATTATCATTACCCCCAAAGGAGTCAAAAATGGTCAGGTAAATTTTGATGCACAAAATTCATTCAAATCTACCTTTCAATAGCCGTGTTAAATTACTGTCTCTGTATGGCACAAAATTTTGTTGCGATTTATCATTGCCTAAATAGCTGATAACATTTCCCAGCACCAAAAGACCTTTGCTTTTTATTTACTCCCTCTTTAAATGTAATGCCAATTGCTCCAGTTTTCTTGGGTCACTCGGGTCCAGCCAGGTCAACTAGGTGTAATTTTGCCTTCTTATTTTGATTTCTACAACATATTTTTATAGAACTTTTAAAGGTACAAAAAATCATAAATGAGCAAAATGTTTTTGTCGCAGATGTGGTATACCCACTAAATGAATTGTTACAAATCTAAAAGTTTTTTGTTCAGGATCCAATTATCTTCTGAACTTTTTTTTAATTTAAAATCGTTTTATTAACAGATTTATTTCTGCAATATGTACTCTAAATTCAAATCAATATTTAAAACAAAACCTAATCAAATTGAACTGGTTAAAAATTACCTTTCAAATGTTAATGTTAAACATAACGTGACTTCTGGAACAATGCAAGTTCATGCCCGTAGAAGCTGTTGCGCGTCCATTGGAACCCTTCGCCAGTATATCTAAAACTTGACTGGTAGATTCTACAATTGTCTCAGTTAAATTGGGTATAAGTATGTTCCCTGAAAATTTTCAACAGAAGAAATAAATCATGAAATTCTACTCTTCCAAATTTCTACCTTTGACGTCTTCGCGAATTTCTAATCCACATTGGTCTCGACGCTTATCAGATAAGAAATCGAAAATTCCTTCGTTGTAAAGCTCAATAAAAGACACGCTAACACTAAAATCTACGGAGAAATTGTCCTTGATATAATCAAATATATGTAAAACAGCCAAAGGTATAACCCCCATATGATCCTTTCCTTGATAGGCAGTTTCCATTGAATGGTTTTTTCCAGATCCAGTTTGATCATATGCAAGAATCCTACGATAAAAAAAATTTCTAAGTGTCTGTTCAGGGCAAATATTATATAAGTGATCAAATGTGAACACTGAGTGTTCGAAGTGTTTTCGGAGCGCGAGCATTGAAGATGCCAAGTGAGTGAGATTTTGGCGAAACGTCTGCAGGATTCCAGTCGGAGTTCAATTTTTGAAATCTTAAATAAATATATTTGAAGTTTATTAAAAAAATTACTGATAATTCTTGATAAGGTGTATTTTTTTATTATTATAGGCTTTTACTTAGACAAGGCACTGTGGATTATACGTCAAATACAAGCAAATGTGCATGGAAAAAAATTATTATACTATGTTTTGGGAATAATTATTAAAATGCTTGTGCTTAAAACTTTTGTTTCATTTCAACCATTAGGGACATTTCTGGGCCGCTCTGAGGCTGAGTCCAGAAGCCAGGTCCACGATGCTCTAGATTTAATGTGTTTTTGTATCACCATAAGTACATTTTTATGTGATTCTCATGTGGCTATGGTTAATGCCCCATCTTATTTGTAAAGTAGGCTAGGGGTAGGGGCCCATAAATGTGTGTTACCCCAAGGCTCAACAAAATATTCAAAAGATACTCACGGGTTAATAAAAAATATTCTTTTGCAGCACCCTTCGATAAAATCGATACTGGCGAAGGGTTCCAATGGACGAGCAACAGCTTCTACGGGCATGAACTTGCATTGTTCCAGAAGTCACGTTATGTTTACCATTAACATTTGAAAGGTAATTTTTAACCAGTTCAATTTGATTAGGTTTTATTTTAAATATTGATTTGAATTTAGAGTACATATTGCAGAAATAAATCTGTTAATAAAACGATTTTAAATAAAAAAAAAAGTTCAGAAGATAATTGGATCCTGAACAAAAAACTTTTAGATTTGTAACAATTCATTTAGTGGGTATACCACATCTGCGACAAAAACATTTTGCTCATTTATGATTTTTTGTACCTTTAAAAGTTCTATAAAAATATGTTGTAGAAATCAAAATAAGAAGGCAAAATTACACCTAGTTGACCTGGCTGGATCCGAGTGACCCAAGAAAACTGGAGCAATTGGCATTACATTTAAAGAGGGCGTAAATAAAAAGCAAAGGTCTTTTGGTGCTGGGACATGTTATCAGCTATTTAGGCAATGATAAATCGCAACAAAATTTTGTGCCATACAGAGACAGTAATTTAACACGGCTATTGAAAGGTAGATTTGAATGAATTCTGTGCATCAAAATTTACCTGACCATTTTTGACTCCCTTGGGGGTAATGATGATAGCATGTGTTAGCCCTGCTGACTATAATGTGGAAGAAACTCTTTCGACCTTGAGATATGCTGACAGAGCGCGAAAAATTACCATTACACCAATGAAGATCCAAATCTACAGAAATTAATGAATTAAAACTGCAGATCAAACATTTGCAGTTGTAGATTGTAGAGCAAAGTGTCCCAGTAGTAACAATGATTGAGAGTAATAAACTCTATGAGGACAACAATATGTTAAAATTAAAAATTGGAGATCTCCATTCCCACTTGACAGAATTAGTGACGGACAAAACATATCTGCATGAAAAAATATTAATTTTGTAAACAGCCAATGAAGATGTCACTGAATAAATTCAGCAAGTTCGGGAAGAATATGACTTGGTATTAGACAATTTAAGTGCAAACATAGAGAGTAATGCTGATGTCAAGGAAAATGTATTCAAATTGAGGGAGATGAGAGAAAAACTCATTCTTCTGCAGTTAGAACTAGTTAAAACTGAAACCGAAATGAGGTATGTTTATAGAAGTTTACAAGCTTTTTTAATGTGGAGGAATTTTGAAAATTAAAAAAAATTATATGTACCTAATACGTAGTTAAGATTATACCAACTTATCTCAGTGCCAACTTTTTCATGTTTCGTTACGTTGTACTTAAGGATCTATAATGTAGGCTTCCTTAAACTCAAAATATAAAAATATATTCATCTTATTAATTGTTAATATTATTAGGTATAATCTTTTCTAATTATCAAGATTGCCATGAAAACAAATTTTGTTCTCATCTAACCAAACGCTACGCATCATTCATGTCGTTATTTGATGCTTGTCAAAGTTTCTCGATTGCCTACACTCTTCATTAGTATAAATTTGCTAAATATTATTGTACTGAAAATGTCTTATTTAAATTCATCGTAATGCAGGGCCTACATATCTCCGCGTTAGGAATATTATATCAATACACATTTTGCTATTTAAATAATTCAATATTTATTAAAATGCGCAAAATCTTTTTGGATAGATTTGGATTATTTAACAATATCTTTGAGCGCCCCCACCCCTTTGCTTGCAGAGATAGAGCTATTAAACCAAAAAAAACGCTCATGCTATGATTAATATTACAAAATTTTGTAGAAACGTGTTCAGGATAAATATTTAAAGTTGTTTTATTAACAGAATTTTGTCTGCAATATGCACTCTAAATTCAAATCAATATTTAAAACAAAGCCTAATCAAATTGAACTGGTTAAAAATTACCTTTCAAATGTTAATGGTAAATATAACGTGACTTCTCGAACGATGATGCAAGTTCATGCCCGTAGTAGATGTTGCTCATCCATTGGAACCCTTCGCCAGTATATCTAAAACTTGACTGGCAGATTCTACAATTGCCTCAGTTAAATTGGGTATAAGTATGTTCCCTGAAATTTTTCAACAGAACAAATACATCATGAAATTCTATTGTTCCAAATTTCTACCTTTGACGTCTTTGCTAATTTCTAATCCACATTGGTCTCGAGGCTTATCAGACAAGAGATTGAACATTCCTTCATTGTAAAGCTCAATAAAAGACACGCTAACACTAAAATCTATGGAGAAATTGTCCTTGATATAATCAAATATATGTAAAACAGCCCTAGGTATAACCTCCATATTATCCTTTCCTTCGCCATTTGAACATTCGACCATTTGTGGTGCTCCCGCCTGGGCAACCGGCGAATGTCTTTGTGTGTCCTAGCAGTGGTGTGTTTCTGTTTTGTTTTCTCATTTGTGCGTGTTTATTATGTTGTAATAGATTGTTTTTATATCTTCAAGCAATTTGTACAAATATGACTCCAAAAAAATTGGTGTAAAAGAGAAATTGCTTCATTAAATTATCACTGGCCCTCACTGGAACGGATCTAGTGGCGTATATTATCCCTCGCGCGATAATATCCAATTTTGAACTTACATTCTTGAGCACTCAAAAAATACCATAGCAGCAATGTAGTGGAGATTGTCAATCGCGCACACGCGAAATTGAAGCACGATATTTCGGCCGAAAACAAAACCAGAGGGCTCGTAATACCATTACCAACCATCTAGTTTTCTATGCTTTACTTGAACAGAAATTGATTCAATGGTGGATTCTGATGGAGCATTGCACGCGACAGTTTAACAATATAATATAGTTGTTTATGGGTTTAACTTCCATTCGCTCCCTTGTATTCGTCCCCAAAAGTTTGATATCGGTCTCCACTGGGTGGATTTAGTGTTTAGTGAATGTTTCTAAGTGATAATTGTCGCCGACCCCATCGTTTTACCCCGTTCACGACGGTTTGGTGGCCAGATGGGCCTGGATGGTCCGCGGTGGCAGTGGGGGATGTCGGTTTTTTTTGGTTTCGGTCAAAATTGTTTTTTGTTAGTTAAGTAAATATTGGTTATATTTCTCCTTTGAAGTGTTGATCAAAGACCAAAAGCGAAGATCCTCGACAGAAGTCGGCAATGGGCAAATGATCCTGGCAGTCTTGCCCAACTATATTAGTGAAACGCATTATTGAATTGAATTGATTGACTTTCGATGGATTGATTGCACATTGCGGACGTTTCTCCTGCCCGGTTCCAATAAAATTGTAGAAATTGGTTGAATTTAGTGTCGTTTAAAGAAAATTTTGTTTTGTACATTTGTTTTCTGAAATGATAGAGGCGCAGTGCCTACAATTTCTTGAAATAGTGTTCGTTTTACGCGAATGTACACGGATTTGTCATTGTTACTCCATGATGTATATGTTAGCACGGTTTCCGGATGTCCTGTACTCACGCTGGTAACCAGGCCGGATGGGATCGGATATTCCATATAGGATGATTGCGGGAGTCGTATGAAGAATCGGTCGTCATTTTATGACAGAACTTAGAAGTTGTTCCCGTTTTTGTATATGTCAAGCAACCTGGAGGATGATGGATTGGTCCAGACCCTTCTTTAAGGAAGGCATTTTTCAGGATTTTTGTATATGTTAAACTTATTGTAAGCTGGCCGAATGGCCTGTTACAGTTTTGGTCATTAGAAGTAAAATCATATCCATTCCAATTGAATTGATTCAATGGTCATAATTTGACAGATATAAAAAAAGAAGAAGAAATGAACAAAATATTTGTGGTTAGCAACGTCAATTTGGTTTTTGGAAGTGTATGAAATCATTATGCGATAAAATAAATTCAAAATCGCCATGGAACTTTCTCATAGTTTAACCCTAAACGAGGAAGCTTTGGGTCAAATTCCTGAAGCGAAAAAACCGGTATTTATATTCGAATGGCTGAGATATTTGGATAAAGTTTTAGTTGCAGCCCAAAAAGTAAACCCTATGCATAATTCTCATCCTCTTGATATAGCTAAATGTATATTTCTAGAGTGATATAAAAGGATGTCAAAAGCAACTGGTACAACAGCTGATGAATCATATTCAAGAATCTCCTGGTCCTCCAACAAGAAAACTCATTGCCCGGTGCTTAGCAACACTGTTTTCTGTTGGAGATGCATTTTTATTGTTTGATACTGTGAATCAGTGCAACGACATTTTAAAGAATAAAGACGATTCTCCAAGTTTTCTGCCAACTCGCCTGTATGTTTCTTTAGCTGCTTTTTAAAGTTCTTATTGATATTGTTTTAGCGCTGCAATTTGTTGTGTTGGCACAATGTATGAAAAATTGGGCCGCATGATGGGAAGATCGTATGAAGAAACGGTGCAGATCTTGATAAGATCTTTAAGGAATGGGGAGTCTCAGATCCGGATAGAGATTATGCTGACATTAGAAAAAGTATGCGCCGGGATGGGCAATGCAATTTCTAATGTTCACAAAGACATATATAAGGCAGCCAGACACTGCTTGATTGATAGGGTTATGGCAGTTAGATGTGCTGCCACCCGCTGTCTGTTGGAAATGTTAAACCATGCACCATTTCTTTACACTACAGAGTTGGAGAGCTTAGCTTCACTCTGTTTTAGGGCTTTTGATGGCTCTAATTATGAAGTTCGGTGTGCTGTGGCCAAACTCTTAGGCACATTAGTTGCTATGACTCAGCTAAATCAGACTTTAGGAAAAATTGGTAAGACCTTTCTCAGTTTTTTTGATTTTTTTGTTTTAAACATTCTTAAGACATTTTTATTTAGGCTAGAAAATATGGGTGTTGAGGAAATACCTTACAGATTCTTAGGGCAAATATATTATGTTCCTGGGGGCTGTATTATGTACATAAATGAACTCTAACATAACTGGTGAATATACTGTGTAGTAGGCAGATGATACAACTTTGATTTTTAGTGGAGAGGATGCTGGTAAAATAAGATTTCCCAAGTCATGTTGAAGTTGCAAATATATTTGTTGATTTTGATGTAAAAAACTGTAAAGTTTTGGTATAGATTATTATATAAAAAATATGTATGGAAAGTTTAGAGGAATGTAAAATTGCATTAATATACAGGGTATAAAATTTAAAAAATATAAGTGAAACCCAACCAACTTTTGTCTCTCTAGGTTTCTTTGAGATTTGATGTAAACGGGCCACTCTGTACAGATCTGTTACTCACATTTACATATAGTGGCCTAGGAATTAATATTACAGATTATATTTCTTTTGTTAGAATGAAAGTAGATAACAGACTTCCAATTTTGGCAGGATCTTGCTTCTACAAAACAAGCATATACGTAGTAACGTTTTGGAATAAGTTATCGTGATAGTTGTAGACCTGTTTTTGGAACACTTACTCTTAGACTTGTTGGCATATATATACTGGATTCTTTTATGTTTGTCTTTATTTTTATTTATTTTTACCTGAAAGATGCAATTTACTTTATATATTCCATAATTACAGTCTGTGATAGTTTTCCAGAAATTATTAATTTACCACAACTTGTAATTTCTTGTTTTTTTGTTTTGTTGTTTTTATTGATGTATCTAAATATATATCTGTCTATCTGTCCTTGTGTTACAGCCATTCAACAAACAAATAAAAATGTTAAATTGGTATCACTAGATGACGCGTTGGGAATTCTTATGGTAGGATTTCTTAGGGGCGGAGTTGGGTTTTTAAAAGGCACTGGAGAAATAATAAAGGGAGGTTCCGGAGTGAACAGAGAAGTTCGTGTTGGTGTAACTCATGTGAGTAGGGCAACAGGTTTTTATTTCATTTCACCTAACTAAAGCATTGCTTCAACAGGCTTATGTAACCTTTGTCCAAATATTGGGTAGCGTTTGGCTAGAGAAGAATATGAAAGTTTTTCTCTGCCACATTTTATATTTGGTTGCAAATCCAAAGGCAGCGTCGTCCCACGTCGATGCTGTTTATTCTAGGAAATGTATTAATTTTATATTAAGGAGTATATTCGGGAAAATGTTTGGAGAAAAAGCACAAATAACTGCTTGCAAACAGATAGCGCAAGTTATAGTAAAAGAAATGAACAGCATCGATTTTAATCCGGAAAACGCCAAAGAATTTAATCAAGAAACATTATTCAGTCAGCATTTATTAGTGTGCGCTTTGCAAGAAATCGGAAGCTTAGTGGTCAGTCTCGGAACAACAGCTCACGATTTGATAACTGACCAGTCACTAAGTAGGATTAAACGTTTATGGTATTTTACTAGTTAACTGAATTTTTTTTAAAGATATTATCGATGTAACTGTCAGTGTGTTAGTTCATCCTTGTCAAGCAGCCCGGTTAGCTGCAGCTTGGTGTCTTAGATTTATCTGTGTTGCGGTGCCTAGTCAAATATCACCTCTCCTAGGTAAGTCAGTTTCTATTCAGCGAAATATATCGTCATTAACTAAAGAAAAATGTATCAGATCGCTGCGTGAATGGCATAGAGCAATATCGAACATCACCAGAAGCTATAGCGGGATATAGTTGTGCATTAGCAGCCGTTTTGGGTGGGGTGCAATTATCTCCTCTCGGTGTGCCCCATATGAAAGGCAAAATCATTTTTAACACCGCTGAGGAGTTACTCCGCAGTGCCAGTCAAAATAGTCGATTATCATTGAATAGGACCAATGCCGGATGGCTTTTAATCGGAGCTATAATGAGGTTAGGTGTTCCTGTAGTCCGGGGTTTGTTGCCCCGAATGTTGCTGCTTTGGAGAAATTCATTTCCACGGTCCGCTAAAGAGTTGGAATCCGAGAAAGCGCGTGGTGACGTTTTCACATGGCAAGTGACCCTCGAAGGACGTGCAGGAGCCCTATCAGCCATGCACAGCTTTTTGCAAAACTGCCCGCAACTTGTTAACGAAGATACCAATAGAAGATTGCTGGCCCCCATTGAATCTGCCCTTGTAATGCTAGCAAAGTAAGTATTCAAAAATAAAAGGTATCAAAATCGTTGACGTTTCGCCAGTCATCCTGTTCTTCCGAGCTTCATTGAAAGTGATTTACATTCTACTGTGCAGATACAGTGTCTCTGGTTAAATTCCAAGGGCAAATTGCCAATCAAAATTGATTCACTAGATTTCACGTAACCATAGGATTTCACAGATTTTCAAAAATAATAAATTACAAATTATTAAAATGAAAAATGTATTTAAACAAATACACTCTTTTAAAACCATTTTTAAAAAAGTACCATGGGTTGTCTCAGTGTGACTATTAAAATAAAAATAATTTTATAAAATATTAAATATGTAAATAAAATTTCAAAATTCTGTTTTTTATTTTTTTTTTCAGTTAGAAAATTTAATTACTGTAGAAATTTTAAATTAATAAAAGAAATTTTTTGTGCCCTTATAAAATTATTTATCTTTATAAATTTAATTACTAGTCAGTTAATTACGTAATTTTATTTATTGAAAAAGGCACGTTTAAGACGTTTTGATAATTACTAATATATGTTGATGAAAAAATTACAATGAAAACCTGAAATAATTTTGATTCATTAAAGTGTTCGTTTAATTTAAGAATACTGTTTTTCTAACCATATGTTACACCTGCAAATAACTTTATTTAATAACTACACATTGGTATTTTTTAAATTCTAACTTGTTTTAATTAACGGAAATTGCTTAAAACTTCCAGGAAACTCAATATACCCAGTTAGAAGGGTTATTAAGTTCTTGATTCTCAATTGGGTTAAGATCAGGACTTTCTGCTGTCAATTCCATAGTTTCAATTCCAACCTCAACAAAAAATTCTGTCTCTTAAAAAGATTCGTCAAAAATTAAAATAAGATAAGCAGACTGGGATGAATAAATAACAAATGTATAAGTTTGTAATCTATGTACCATGGCAGTTTACAATAAAAATTAATATTGTAATATTCATAAGAATTTCGAAAAATTATTTCAAATAATTTAGGGGTGCGGTAATTGTATTGGCCAGTGTATCATGCAAAATGTTGAGTCGTTTGTGATAGTCCGGTAGGGTGTTTAAATTGTACAGGGTGAGCTATTATCTTGATTCGGGTTTAAAGGCCGTCGTCGGTTGGAATTATTGGAAGTAATTCCAACCGACGAAGGCCTTTAAACCCGAATCAAGATAATAGCTTATCAACGGGCCGCGAAAGCCTTAACCAATTTATCTGTACAGGGCGAGTCAAAAATCCTTCCACCGAGCTTAACAGAAATATAGGTGATAAGGCAAAGCTGTGATTATATTTTTATTGCTATTATTGGTTTATAGGGGCAGTACTTTGTAACTATAGGATTTAATGTTCTTCAATTTTGTAAACATTGTGGTTTGGATGACAGTTGCTAATAAGTAAATAAATAGATAAGTTATTGGATATTTCTTGCTTGTTAATAATTTATTTTAGCATATCAGGAGTTTTAAAATCTTATGGGCAACAACTAAAAGCTCCAGCTGCAATGGTTAGGTTGCGCTTGTGTGAAACGCTCTTACTGCTTCAGCCACACTGTTATGAAAGTAAGACTGTGTGACTAATGTTGTGGATCGTTCATTACTTTTCCACTTAGGTTCCTACACTCACTTGTTGCGAATGTTAGTTGCCGAATTCACTCTAACCGAAAATCCTGCTAATACCACCACGTCCCAGTTACGTGTGGTTTGTCATGCAGATGACTCCGTCATTTTGGGGACTTGGCTGCAAGAAACTGACCACAGGAATATTGAAGACCAGGTACATTTTGTATGTAAAACCTCATGATTTGCAGTGTTTATTAATAAGTGTGAAAGTCTTGTGTTCACAAAGTGGCGGAATTGTCAGAAGTTAAAATTTTTCTCTTCATTTAAAGATTGCTTACTAAACTTTATTAAAGTAAAGATTCAGTAAAGGAGCTTATTTGTTCTTAGATGGAACCTAATCGAAGATCAGACGGTGAACACGTGAGTAAAAGCGTTAACTTAATAGTGTCCTTGATTTTTTTTTGCCTGTTGTTGAGGGTGATCCGACATTATTTTGCTGTTATGTATATTTGAATATAGCTTAAAGTCTATTTTTTGCTGCGTTTGTAATATTTTTTGAATTTATTTTACCAATTACAGTTACAGCCAAATAGCGCAGCAGGATCTGGTGCTTTAGAACACGACCCTTGTTGCCTGTATCGTCAAACACCTTCGGTGAGTCTTTTTTAACAAATCACGTTGTAACCGAGGGAGACCACAGCTGTCAGACAATATAAAAAAAGGCTTAAATTTTACTTCTATATATAGGAACTATCAATTCAGATAATAATAATAATAATAATAATAATAATAATAATAATAATAATAATAATAATAATAATAATGAAATAATGAAAATGATAATAGAATGGTTGTGGTTATGGTTATGATAATTGTAATTTCATCTATACTACTACTATGTTTGTTTGGTGGATAACAGAGACCTTATTCAATCAGAGATTTTTTGGTTTTGCTGCTAAAGTTTTTTAAAAACTATTCAAAATGTCTTTGCCCCATATCCTATTAGTAAAATTCTGGGCAAGGTCTAGGTAAATAATTTTGCATATTTGGGAAGGGTACCTATTAAAATATCAGATTAGGGAGTAATAATGTGATATGTCTAGAATGAAAACATACCCGGTCCCCTGCCACTGGGAGTCGCAGTGATAGACTTGTCCGTTCTACTATTTGGTCAAATCTTCTCGAGAGTAACACAAAAACATAGGACGCAGATGATAGAACATTTCACAGAGTGTATTAAGCATGCGAGAAGCATTCGACAGGAAGCGGTACAGATGAATATATTTACCGCCCTATTGAGCGGGTTTAGGGGCATGATTGAAAATAAAGCAAGTTTGGGACACGAAGATATCAAAAAAGCCATGATCAATCTCATCGTTGGAGCTCTGACCTCACCGAATTCCATTTTAAGATACGCTGCTGGTGAGGCGGTTGGTCGGATTGCTCAGGCAGTCTCGGATCCAAAATTCACCGCCGAGTTAGCTCAGATGAGTTTTGATCGGCTTAAGTCTGCCAGAGATGTGGCTAGTAGAACAGGTAAAGGTTTTTTTTATGTCGATAACTACAGTATTTTGCGAAGCATTTTAAAAATGTTTAAAGGTTTGTACAGCTATTCTCTTGTGGTTTACATTTTTTTTTACTTAAATTCGGTCAATTTTGTGCACACCAAGCACAAATGAAATGAATATATGAAATTGTAGAGTATTTTGGAATAATTTTATAAACGGCAAAATGTTCATTTAGCGCAAATAAGATAAACGAAACTTGACTTCGGCTGCATGCGGCATAGTAGGACGAGTAAATATAAATACTCGAAAATATGACGGTCTTCTATAATAAAGAACATATTGTAGTTTTACGGAACGGTATGTATTAACTTAAAATACATTTTGTTATAAACTTGTATCTCTGTATCTCCGAACGCATCCACTTTGAAACCGATGTAAGTTGGTTTAAATAGCAGTTATTATTAACAATAACCTAGTTTATTATTCCTATTGATTTTAACAAGCGTAAAAAAAATTAGCATAATAGATGTTTTTGAAAGCATTTTTTTTAGCAACTTTTGAGAAATGCATCAGTTTTCGTCCATTTAGAAAAATTTCTATCGGCAAACTATATAAATTTGTGAAACTTTTTTTTCCTAATCAAGTTGTGTCATACAATAATGTTTGTTTAAGGCTGTAGAAGATTTAGTAATATTGCCCTTATTCAATTTCTAATGGTTCATTTTTAGGACACTCTCTGGCTTTGGGTTGCCTTCATAAATACGTCGGCGGCATGGGTTCCAGCCAGCACTTAAATACCAGCGTTTCTATATTGCTAGCTTTGGCACAAGATCAAACTTCCCCAATTGTGCAAGTGTGGTCATTACACGCCTTATCTTTGATTGCTGATTCGGGGGGACCTATGTTTAGAGGTTATGTGGAGCCAGCATTGTCCGTGGTACTTAAACTACTCCTCAACGTACCCGAGTCTTATATAGATGTTCACCAATGTATTGGAAAAGTATTATCGGCATTGATCACGACTATCGGACCAGAATTGCAGGTAATTTTTTCTATTAAGACCAAAGGCTAATCGACAGACAAAAATGTCTTCACCTAGACAGTCTAACAGATGTATTTTCACACTAGCCGGCATCACTAGCACCAGCAAAGAATTATGTGAAAATATTAGTCGTGATTAGTGTTAAACCTTGGGAGAAAAACGCACTTAAAATTGGCGTTAAGGCACTTATACGTAAAAACTTGCATCTTACCATCTTCTACTGCTTCTATTTTGTAATAGTTAAGATTCTGGTTATAGCTCAAAAATTATCTATGTCTATTAAAACGAAAATTAAATGTTATAATTAATTTTTCAATTTGAGTGATATATTGATCATAATAGAGGTTCCTAACTGTTGAGGAATATTGAAAAGTGGACCTCACCATGCTAATAAATTAAGTGATTAATGATTTTGGGTTTTTAAAGCCCTTTCATAGTATAAATTCCAAACTCCCTGCGCTATATACGGTTTGGAGTCAAAGATAATGCTCAAGTTTTTTACTTCTATGAGGTTCACATAAGGTGGAAAATCTGTTTCAATCATTTTAAAGTTCTCACCAGTCATTGTAATCATAATCTTATTATTTTTTAAATTTTTACATCTGCTAAAGCAAGTGATCAGAATTGTGAAAATACTCTCCAATGTCATGCAAAAAGACACTTAACAGGAGACCCAAATGGTAGCCTTGTGAAAGGCCTTCAGTCATGAACAATCAGTGATATATTTGTTCCAAGTTAATATTCTACTAATAAAGCGTACAGGATCCTTCCATACCATATAGCTATTAGATAATACATGTCTCTACATTTCACCCAGTAACCTGCACCTTGCGCCATTCTGTTTCTACAAAGAGATCTCCACACAATGAACTCCTTTTTGCTTTAAAATTTGTTTGTTTGCTTCACAAGTTCCTGTATTTTCAGCATAAGGCAGGGCTGTATGGTTTGTACCATAGACTTGAATAGTTTCCCCATATTTTCTGAACCTGACTCACAAATTGTAATAATTTGTCCTGCTTTCAATTAGATTGGGAAACTACAGATTGACATAAAATAATTGAAAAGTATGTTCCGTGGTGCACATAATAATAATATTGCTGATTTTCCATCTGATTTCTTCTACTTGTACAATCTGTTTATTTCAATTAATACAGAAAGATTGGCTATTGCCCCACTAGAGGCGCTATTATAACTACAAGACTTGGTTGATAGCTTTGATTTTGTATCTTTTTTTATTATGAAAAAAGACCAGGAATATCGGGTATCTCCTTCGCATAAGATTGGAGTAACCATTAAACACGTTTATAGATTTTCCACCTTGTGTAAGTTTGTGCTTTGTGCTTGATGGGCTGAATAGAGTTAGTGATTTTTCAGGGTAATACTTCCACCATTTGCATGGCGAGATCGTCGTTTCTTTGCGCATGTGCGATAATGCAAGATCACCAAGATCCCCTCGTTCAAGCTGAAGCGACCGGTTGTTTGCAGCAACTGCATTTGTTCGCTCCGAAACATGTTAATCTGTCGTCATTGGTGCCAACATTGTGCGTAAGTAACTCAACGGAAAAACAACATTTTCGCTTTCTATAGCGAAAGCTTTAAAACGGATTTTACCCATCTATTGCGTTTTTATTTATTTACTTTTAATTAAATTGATCATTTTTTGCCTTAAATCGCCTTACTTTATCAGTTTACAAAGTTGCAACAATAAATAAAATTGAAAGTGAAAATAGAATTGCAATTTGACTCTAATTTTAGACAGTAATTTCAAATTTTAATCTCATATCAAAGTGCTCCCAAGAAGCTGACATAATTCTTAAAATGTTGTGCCCTCACAGGAACATTTTAGATGGAAAGACTAAAATAAATAAAAATTGCAGATTCGCTCGTTTTGTGTCATTTCAATTTTGCCGATGTAATTTATAGCTAATATAATATATCGAGATAATAAATAATATCTGGTTTGTTTTGAAATAAAATATAAAAAACACGTTATAAAAAAAAATAAAACTAACCAAAACTAAAGAGGCTAAACCCAAAATGATTTTTTTTATTCATTATCTTAAAAAATTGCCCATGATTAATACTTTAATTATGATAAGATCAGAACTATGAACATTTACATGGTTTTCTGATCTTTTTGCAACATAAAATTCGTATATACAGTAGGATCCTGATTATTCGTGCTTCCATTTCAGCATTCATAAAATGATAATTAAATAATGATAACTCACTAAAAATGATAAATAGATAAAAAATAGAATTCTACATAAGTAAATTTTGGAACTGAATAAAAAATATAAACACTTCACATACATACACTACTACACACACCAAATTAGTATGCCCTATGCTAGTTATTCTAATAAAAAAAAATCAGTCACTTTCGTCAAGTTTCAAATGTTGATAAGGTTCAAAGGCAGCTTCTTCAGCCTCTTGGTTTAATGGATACCTCCACTTTTTAACTTTAGTTTAATCAATTCCTTTGAATTCATCTCCGCTGCACTAATGGAGTTAGTTCTCTTGTGGTCGCTTCTTTATCATTTTGTAAAAAACTCGTTGCTTGCTGTTTTAAACAAGTCCATCAAAAGTTCTCAATGTTTTATTATTTTAAAAAGAAGAAGTGACTTTCCCTTCTTCAGTAACGATATTGCAAGTTATTTAACAGCTTGCCGGTTATAATGGGAAGGATAATCCGCAGCCCAGATAATCGGGATCCTACTGTTATATACTGCAAATAAATCATTTATTTATTTATTTATTTATTCAGAGGACTCTTTCAAGTAACCATCTTTTGCTGAGAAAAGCAGCCATATCATGTTTGAGGCAATTAGCGCAGAGAGAGGCCAAGGAAGTTTGCGAACATGCTATGACTTTGGCGAGTGAAAGCCGGGATCAAAATAAAACAGTAGAAGGCCTCTTAATAACCGAAACAGGTCTACCGGGAGTGTTTTTTAGTATGTTGGACACCGAAACGGATTTGGGTCTTATTAAGGATATCCACGATACCATAATCAGTATGCTGCAGGTATTGGCTGCGAACAACTTGACACAATGGCTAGGATTGTGCAAAGACGTATTGACAGTAGCTACAGGTGTGACACAGATAACCATTCTCTAGCTCGTTTATTACTATTTTCTTATAGTTTCAGATACCAACATTGAAGAACGGATAATACCTAACGAGCATGAAGATAGCGGCGAAGTCGATGACGACCAAGAAGAGTTTCATATGGAAGATGAGTCTTCCTCTCACCCAGCCGTTCAGCCACGCTGGCCTACTAGAGTGTTCGCGGCCGAGTGCGTTCGTAGAATTATTGCGGCCTGTGAAGTTAGTGAAAAATCAGCCCATTTCAATTTGGGCCGTGCCAGAGAAATGCAAAGGAAAACCGACTTCCTGGTGTTCCACCTATCCGATTTAATTCGTATGGCGTTTATAGCGGCCACTAGCGATTCGGATCCTCTTAGGTTGGAAGGTAAGGTTTTCCTCCTGAAACTGATTCACTTGCTTCTGAATGAATTTTATTGTGCTGTTTGTGCTATGACAATTATTTAATTGTTTTTGAAGTATGTAGATGGTTTTGTTTTTTAGGCCTGAAAACGTTGCAAGAGGTAATCGAAAAATTTGCCAAAGTGCCGGAACCAGAATTCCCCGGACATTTGCTTCTGGAGCAGTTTCAAGCTCAGGTAATCCCTTTTTTTGTGATGTATTGTGATTAAGCATTGAATTAATTTATTTCCCTAATTTGCGTTTTAAACTGCGTGGAGGGTGCTCCAAGATTACAATTTCACTATTATTTAAAATTCTTTAGTGATATATCCAACATGATTGCTTAGAACTAAATTATATATCATATACTGGGAGGCACAATTATTTCATTAAATGTTTAGATCATAATCCTTTTAAAAATATTTTCGATTATTTCAAGTGTTGCATAAAATTGTTAGAATACAAAAACATATCGTTTTAAATGAAACACCCTATATATTTTATGCATATTACGATTCCTTTAAGAAATGTGTATATGATATCGTGATTGTCTTTGAATTTGAATGCAATGTTGACAACATATTGGGAAAAGTTAAAAATATTTAAAAAAAAACGTGTGTTACGATATTGGATCACCGCGTATTTAACTACTTTATAAAGAACGAATATAAAATCACATGAAGTTAACCTTCCCTTTAAATATAAAATAGACATTTTTTGAATGTATGGGTGTGGGATTGTTGTTGTGTGGTAATAAGAGTACTGAGCAACTAATTATTTACTTGATTTCCCGTAACTAGAGTGCTGGAATACTGTTTACAAATCTTCTGTTGTATTGTTAGTAATTCGAACTTGCTTAAGTTTCGGCAATCATCCTGTTGAGAGATATTGCAGAGATATTTAAAACTTTTGTGAAAGTTTTCACAGTTACAAGACTGCTGAGTTTGATAGTTTCGAACCGTTTTGTTTTTCATTCGGTTTTGTGCCCCAATTTGAAGAATACGGATTTTCCTTAATCCAGATATATTTTTAGGGAATTGAAATCTTAAAAGTTCACGGAGGAGTAAAATTTTTCTATTTTGAAGATTAGCTAGCTACACAGTGTCCTTTTTGTAGGTTAGCGCGGCATTGCGGCCAGCATTTTCGCCAGATACGTCGTCACACGTGACTGCTGCCGCATGTGAGGTGTGTTCCACTTGGATCGGATCAAACGTAGCGAAAGACTTGAACGATCTAAGAAGGGTTCACCAATTGCTCGTATCTTCCCTGGAAAAATTACAAAATCGAAATAATTCGAACAACATATTTTATAACGAGAGTCTGCTTACTTTAGAAAAATTAGCGATTTTAAAAGCTTGGGCGGAAGTTTATATAGTGGCGATGAAAGGAAACGAGTCAACACCTTCGTTGACGACCTCGGATAGTAACGATAATAATTTCGGCGAGTTCCAGTTTAAAGGGGAAAATTTACTAACACTGGTGCAACCAGAATTGGTGACTTTATCGCAGCACTGGTTATCAGCGCTGAAGGATCACGCATTGCTATCATTGCCTAATGAATTTTCGAGTCAGCTGCCCCATGATGGTGGCGCGTTTTACACCAACGAAACTATGGAATCTTCCAGGCCTCACTACGCAAATTCCTGGCCTCCGATTTTACACGCTGCCGCTTTATGGCTCAACTCGAAATGTTTCCATCCCACTCCTGAGGAGATCAATAACGACAACGTGCTTAATAATAACCTTTCGGATTCGTACGATAAGTTTCACCTTCTATTCGGAATTTGTATGGAAGCTTTGTGTAGTCCCCGAACGGTGGAGCCACTGGAGAGTGTCGTGACATGCTTGCAGTCCCTTTACACACTTCTAAACGCACCGAATTGTAGGGAGTTTTTAATGTCCGATTCCTCTTTGGGCATCGAGTTGTGCAACGTATTACACAGACTGATTTTGACCAGGGACAGCCACGATTGCCAGCTACTCTGCTTAGAAGTTTTGAAGCATGTGTTGAGAGCTGCGCAGGAATATTTAGACGCGAGCAGAAGTCAACAAACGGGTAAGTGGTAATGGACATGAGTTTACAACTGGGGTCAACAATCTGGAATGAAAAATATTTGTTTTTTTTTTTAGATGCAACTTCGAAAGGTAACTTAGGGGAAGGCTTGGAATCTGGCGAATTAATTCCAGGAAAGTCGTTAGTGTTTGCGGTATTGGAGGTTTGTTTATGTTTAATCATCAGGCAGCTGCCTTCGCTCAGCCCCACTCCAAATTCCACCATAATAAACTCGTTAAAAGTGATGCAGAGTAGTGAGGAATCCGGTCAACTATTGGCGTCCGCCATTTCCTGTATGGAAAATTTGCACAAACTCTGTTCTCCCAAAGGAGCGGTGTCTATCCTGCCCACAGTTTTGTATTTGACTACCGGTATTATTAAGGAAATCGCCACTAAAAGTGTCGACGACAACACTATATTAGCGAACAATCCTGCTATCCAGAACGGGTTGCATTGTTTAAAAGTACTGGCGACCGACCCTTATAGCGAACACGAAGAGATTTCTCGTGACTGGCAAAAGTTGCTTCAAAGTTCTTTAGCGAAAATCATCGATTTGGCGAAAACTGGAACTGACGAGCATTCCAAATTGGACGAAGTCACTATGATGTTGGCTATCGCGGTGTTTGTGCTCCACGCTCCAGCAAATGTGGTTACTGTGGTAAACTTGCAGTATCCATGTATCAATCACTTTCGACAGTGCTTGCAAAGTTCCAATACTGCGGTAAGTCAGCTTAATTTGTACTAAATACACTTAGAAATCTATTAAAACATTAACTTTTAACTTTTTATTCATCATTTCTTAACAACATTCATAACAAAGAGAGTTAGAGTAGGAATGAGGAGTGTTGCTTAAATATGAATAGGAAGCCTCGTGGAGTGGGAGAAAATAATTTCGGTTATAATGAAACTGTATTAAAACTTTAATTTTTTCAAAATTGACAATACAAACATACGATAATTGATAGATTTTGTTTATGTACAGAGTAACCAATAAAGCAACGTAGATGTTTGAAATCAAAAAAATTACGATGAAAGTGGTAAAAAAGAAAATGCTTTAAAATTTAACAGATATAAAAAAAATGGATAAGTGATTTTTATTTGCTTCTTGGATTGACCAGTCGAAAATAACTTTATCTCTCTCGTATATTGCTTTGTTTTCCAGAATAAAAATTCTTTGTTTAGACTTCAATGAAATATATAAAAACATTTCAGTGTTCTTTGCCTAATTTTCAAAAAATAAAAATTACAAAAAAGTTAGTAGCGTACCTTTTTTTTGTTCATAAAATTTGTTTAAGTACCTCCCAGTACGGCACTGAACAAATCTCAAATTCGTTTTTCAACTATACAGAAATAAATATGTGGTTAAATTTCTATTTTTTGAAAAAATGCGGAATTAAGGTAGACAGCCATCTAGCGGAAACGGTATAATTTAAAAAGGCGAAACAAAAAATGCTTCTTGAATGGTTAGTCTTTCAAATGAGAACAAGTTTTGCAAGTTTTTATGTTATGTAGTAAGTTATTAAAAATGATTTGTCCCTAGGTTAGAGGTACTTCCAATCTTTAAAGAACAAACAAACAGATTTTATACAGAGTCAAAGAGAACACAGTTAAATTATAAAAATTATATTTTGTAAAATAAAAATTATATTTTGTAAAATAAAATTATATTTTGTAAAATATTCACGGTAATGCAAGTCAAGTAAAACACAGAGACTTATGCACTTTACAACTGTGTTTTATTAAATCAAAAATACAAAATGCGGTCTTTTCACCAAAAATGATGTTAACTCTAGACCAAATGGGATGCACACATGAAGATGATCAAAAAGAAGTATAAACAAATTTCAATTTTAACTCGTGCATTCGCATCTAAGCTACGATTTTCTGGTATGGGGCTTCTTTTTTATGTCAAAGAACAATATTTTTTCCTATATACCAGATATAAGCTTAACTGAAGATCTAATTTAAATTGTTTAGATGGTAGTTAGGGTCTCATGTGGCTAAGCTACCCAAACAGATAGTTTAAAAAGAAGGTAGAAGACACCAAAAAAAAATCAATTGCCATGTTAACTTTGATTTTCTTATCCCATCTTTTTTATCTGCCTTCTTTTAGTATTTGGTATGTTAGGTTTCTAAGTACTACTTATGTCTGTCTTCCATACATTCTTACAATGAAACTTTGGTAATTATTTTTATTTTAGATTTTTCTTAGATAACTCGATTGTTGCAGGTGAAATTAAAATGTGTCAAAATGCTTAAGTCGCTTTTCGCTCACCCAGACAGAACTGTGGCGACTCCATATATCCACACATTAGCCCCACAGATTGTAGAATCTCTTTATTCTGATAGTTCGAAGAAAATCGTGTCTGAGGGCGAGCTCTTGGTTACGGTGGAAATGATTTGCACTGTCGAGTCTTTAATTAATTTGGCAGAACCACAGAATAGTAAGTGTTTTGTTTTATGAAAGTCGGCTTATAATCTATTCTTTTTTATGCCTTCGCTTTAGGAAATTCCATGCAAGGCAAGTACCAGGATTGGGTTCTTTTGACATTTTTGCTTATGTACTCTTGTTACTCTTTCTCGCTTAGAATTAGGGTATAAAATGATTTACTATGTACTCTGCTTTAGGAATTCAGATGCTGACACTGCTTGTCCCAATATTGGTGAGTTATTTATTGGTAGAACCAATTATACGATCTGCCAGTAAATACGCCATCTCATTGCACGAAATTAGTCTCCAAAAATTGATGAAGATTGGACCTTCATATCCGCAGGTAGAAGTGTTTCAGACGTTAGCGACGAAAGTCACTTTGAAAAACTTTGTGTCTTAGGAGTTCAAGCAGTTGATGAGTCAGTCCGGAGACCTTAGGGCTAAATTGGAAGTGGCCATAAGAGGGAGCCAGCAGAATAATCACAAAAACAAAAACGACATCAATTTAACACAGGCCGTGCCTAATCATACTCCGACTATTAAGCTTAAAACGGATTTTAGTAATTTTTCGTAAAAGTTTAGATGATTTTATCCTACAATTTGATGAACTGGATGTTATATTGAGGGCTAGTTTTAGTAAGTTAGCCATTATGTAAAATCGACTTCTATAATCGTCATTAATTTTATCAATCCTCTTGAAGCATAGCGTTCTAACAGTTCTGAGGTTGCATTTATATCGAGGGGTAAATCACCAGCCAAATGATACACTACATTTCAAACAACCAAATGATTTTGCAGATTTCACTCAAAATTTCACTGATTTCGGATTTCACAGATTTTGAAAAATGATTTTGTGTTATATTCTGTCGTAATTAAAAAAACTATTACGGTACAAAAAGAAACTTAAGTGCTCAATGAACGAATATAAATTTTCAGAATGATGCAGAAAAATAATAATTTCAAAATCTTGTTTCTTCTCTTCGATTATTAGTATGGGTTGATGAAAGAAATTAAAATTAAAGGCAGTGAATATATTTATTATGAATACCACATATTTTTTTTATCTGTGAATCCCTTCAGCGAATATTTGAAAAAAAGAAGTTATACCTATGGCCTTGTAGCACTCTTGTAGTTAACAACTGCCATTTGTCAAAATTCATTAAGGTGCAGCCAAACGTAACACCTATAAATAACGTAAAAATAGTTATTGAATCACATATTGGCATTTTTTTTAATTAATTTATTTATTGTTTAAAGATAATTTAACAAAAATCTTAGAAATACGCTATGATTTCACAGATTTCACGCGTGACTTACTCCTCAATTTTCACCAAGTGTAAATTTTTTTTTGGGACATATAATGGATATCCCTTTTTTTAGGTTTACCCTGTTACTTGAAACTTTTTTGTCGCTATTTTGAAGGAATGAAGGGTATCTTGTAATCTCAACTGTGGTCTCAACCATTTGTAATTTATTGTCGAAAGTTGTTCAACTGGTGTCTTTGAGTCCAGAGCAATAAAAAAAGGGCAATTAAATTTGAATAAAAATTAAAACGGCAATTTTTTTTTTAACATTAAATGAAATACATAACGGTTTTTGGAAAACAAACAGTTTACTAGAACTTTGACAAGCAAAGTGACATTGGGTGACAGTTGATACTAACATTTCTATGCATATACATCTGTCATCGTTAAGTCTAGGTAATTTATAAAACAGGTAATATAATTAAAAACTATGTTGAAAATAGGTTTAATAGGGGTGAATTACTTCGATCTAACTGATCTCTAAAGCTTCAAAAATTTAATTTGTGCCCTTTGTTTCCTAACAATTCCGTTTGGAATAATACATTTAATTAAAAAAAAGTTTATACACAGCCAATATTGATTTTTTGAAATTAGTTCTCCTACAGAATTATTCCAAGTGGCAAACTTTTTAAGTAAATGCAATTTAAAAATAGATTTTAAAACTTTCTTTAAGACAATAAAATAAAAATAATAAAAATTATGTAATAAATGTTTGCACAAAAACTTATATCAAAATTTTTAAATTGTACATTAGAAAATAAAAGATACAAATTAAAATTACTTAAAGTTTTAGTAATAAACAAATTAATAGATTTAAATATCATTTTAAATTATCAATTTGATCTAAATAACGCACCCTTATTAAACATATATTCAGCCTAATTAATTATATTAATTGTATTACCTGTTTAGCGATAGTTTACCCTCCTTTTATAAGTTACCTAGGCCCAACAATAATAGATTTTGTCTAGATGTTATTTTGAAAAAATACTGGTAAAAACCATTATGAATCTATTTATTTATTTTTATTATAAATCAGAATGACATTTTAAAAGATAGGATGTCGGAGCTTGTGAAATGTCCCAATGTGTTAATCATTTTCATCCTCCTAGTTTATGGACGATCCCTTATTATTTACAGGGACAAAGAGTTATTAATAACTAGTCTTTAACAAATAACCTCTTCTAGCACTAAAAAAATGTAAAATAATATATTTAAGTTTATTAATAAAATTAGTTGCCCAGGCAGATGAGTATTTAATGAGTTTTGGTTAACTTGCCATCGTTTATCATGTAATATAATAGACTGAATTCATTTGTATCATGAAAGAAGCAACTTTTTATACTTTCGAAATATACTACGCTCTATTTTAAATTTATTTATTGACTGATCTATTAGAGAAAAGTCGCTTTTACACTTTTTTGTTAATAGATTTTTTATAGATGCTATGTAATTTATCTACCCTATTTTTAATTTATATATGTAGAAGGTTTTATAGGTGGTTACATAAATATATTAACAAAAAAATGTGTTTTATTCAACGACCAGTGATATTTTTTCTCATTTCTTCGATTGAAAACATGGTAGAACAGGGACAGAGATCCGGAATAAGTTGACCCGAAACAGCGCCATCTAAATATTTCTAAGAAACTAACAGCGTGCTCCTATGTTGTTAGTATCTCTATTGTGCGATAGGTGTTGCTGTTAGTACAGGTAGTGCATTTGGTAAGAATTTATAGTTTTTTGGATTTGTAGTTTCTATTGTTACCTTTTCTTGAAAATAATTGGGCTTTGATTTTATCAAACATTTATTCACTGCGTATTTAGTGTACAATAAATAAATATAATTGAATTATGGTATAAAAAAGTATAAAAATATTACTATAAATGATTACAATTATGTAGCTTAGCTTAAACAAGTTTTTAAGGATAATACAAAAACTGGATCTGGGTCAATTTGTTTTAAAATGATATTCGCTATTAACAAAATTAAATATAAGAGTTGCAAAGTTATAAATATTGTAATGCAAGTATTACGAATTGAAGGTGTCGAAGCTGTATTTAAGTATGCAGGAAGCATATGAATTAAGGGGATTATGCTTCACCCCCCGACATCGTATTTTTAAGGCAGAGCTCAGTGGCCACGAAAAAGCACGGGTTAGAAATGTCCTCTTCGAAGAGCGTATTAAACTGTCATTTGTTGCACTCCACAAGTTCGTTTTCTCCGTCTGGGTATTTTATCAGTCCCTTATGTTTTTTAATTTTTTTTTGTATGTTTGTATATATAGTTACCATTAAGAAATATGCATTCTCCATTATCTTTTAATCACAAAAATCGAATTAAAATTGAATATTAATTGACAGTCAAATGCGAATTATGACGATTATAGTTGGTAAAGAAAATGACAGTCTATCAAAAACAGATAACAGATTTTAAAAAGTTGATATTTAATTCAGGCGCCATTTTAGTGGCAGCAAATATTAATAAAAGTGAGTTCAATCGACGAAGACGACATCAACCGAGTTATAGCTATAATTTGCTTGTAATGTATGACTGTTGCTATTAATATATAAATAACATACGAGCCACACTTTTGTGAGTGGGGAAGTAGAGCCCGCATTATTTGACAGGAGTCATCCTATGTGTGCAAAAAACACTGTTTATCTCTAATAGATCTCGTTAATTCGTTATGTAGCAGCTTCTTACACTCTGTAACATTATTTTTTTAATTTGTGACTTACATTTGAAAATATTGACGGAGACTCAGTTTATGAAAGATCGTATATGTGTACTCATCTAAACGTCCTCTCTTTGGTTTATATTTTTTCGCCTTAAATTTGCATAGTCGATTTCATGCGTTTGAAGCATGATGGGGATCGTAGAATTGGTACATAACAAATGTATATACTCCGCCCATTATAATGAGAGTAATTATCAACATTACCAGTCCCACGCAGCGCTCTAGGCTGTGATACATTCTGATAAATGCTGGCCGGTTTGTAATCCTCCTTCGGATTGATAAAAAACTTTCGCGCAGTCTTTGGATTGGTGCAAGACGAGTACGTTCGTAGTCTACACTTCCATCAGCCTGTTAAAAGAAAATAACAGGTTAAAATTGAAAACTAAAAATTAATAATAAAACGATCAAGTCGGTGGAAAATTTCTAAAGATTTCTAAAGTACTTCAAGTTCAAGGGAAATTCCAATTTGACAAAATCCTATTATGTTGAGGTTTTTCAACAATTTAAAACAAATTGTTTCACTAAAACTTAGATTCTGGATCAATCTGGATCAATCCATAGATTTTCGAAAAGCTCAGGGGACATCTCGTTATTACGGAGAATCATCGCTAATTTTTGATTCACAATCTCATCAAAGTTTGAGTGTTAACCGTGATGATAATCATTAATTTAATGAGATCTGGGCATATGTTGACAAAATACTGTCCCAAATATATTGTTAAAATGAGACAATTTTAAACGGAAACTGTTTTTAGGATTCTACTATTAAATTTAGTGCAAATCAGATCACTTTCTCAATAATTTCCGCGGCATTTCATTAAAACGTTTAATATATATCGTTGGGTATCTCTTGATGTACTCTTGAAGGTAATAATATACGGTAAATAGGTTTCAGGAATTTTGGGTATTTCGAGTTTCAATTACTGCCATGCTTCATTATAAGTTTTGGTCGATGTTTAAGTTTCAGTCAGCTCGGCTTGCTATTCAAATAAATGTTCAATTATGTTTACCAAATTATTCTGCGAAATATTCGAACTTTAATCATGTTAAGATAAAATAAAATTTAAAATTTTGTCTCGTTACGTTTGGGTCTTGTACGGTACGAGTAAGAAGATTGACGAAAATGACGCTAAAAGCCGTAGAGAAAGTTAGAGTGAAACGAAACTAATCATAAATCTTTCTGAAGCATATTCGTCTTGCAAATATTCAAAAAATTCTATAAATGGAAAAGTTGCGTTATCTTTGAGAGGAAAACTAGAAAATATAATTTTAGTGTTCTACAGCTACAAGAGGAGGTGCTGTCGCTTCCAGATATTTAAAACTTACTAACACTGACAGTTTTAATCAGTCTTGTAAAAAAAAATTGGTAATTTTTTTTACAAACAATATCTTGTATATTTTAATATTTTATCGAGATATTTACCAAATTTATTTACCAATATGTCTTTAATATTGAATATAAAAAACTTTTTTAGCGCTTTCATTAATTAATTAAAAAATATTTTTTTGAAGTTTTAAAAATGTTTGAAAAATTACATAGTTTTATTTAAATAAAATATATATCATTAGCGTCAAAAATCTCGGGCAGTCTAATTAGTTTTAATGGATGTTAACTAAAAATTGCCTTTTTTAAAAAGTTAATTGAAAGCAACCTATTGATACGAAAAATCCAAATATTATCAGACCATGCTTTAAGGCTCACCATAATCAGTGTCTACATTTTTTATGAATACAATCAATGCCAAAAACGAAAAAAAAAAATTGATTCTCCGTAAATTTCTTCTTCTTCATTTATAATTTGGAAAAATTGGATGACAATAAAAAACGAAAACAGCACCAATTTTAGGATAAAGTCAATTTTCTTTTAGCAATATTAAGAATTAAAATAAATCGAGAACATATTCGGAAAATTCTGAAAAAAATATTATTTGTTGCAATTAAATGTAATTGTTTATGATTAAATACATGTTTGTCAATTTTGGTAAAAATTGGGTAAAAACATAAGCTAATTAGGAATTAGAAAAATATTACAATCGTTTTTCAAACAATTACATTACAAAATCAAATAAGTTCTATAAAAGTTGATTACATTTTTTAAGTGGAACTTAAGAAAAAGCGTAAATTGATAATTTTAAATATTAAACGCTAAATATCTTGTCATTTGTAAGCTGCGCAGGCAACTTTTGGTATGCACATTGAGAAACGCCTCTTTAAGATGATTTTTGGATTTTTTTTATATTTCTATATTTCCCTTTTAGTGGAACCTAGTCTTATCGCAGTAGTATGCTCCCGAAAGCTTTGCATTTACTCTTGAATCACTCTGTATTCTTAACTAATTAATTTACCAAAATTGTCAGCCGCTGAAGATCAAGAGACGCATCTTCAGCACGATAATACACCACTCGCGTAGTGTCGCAAAAATTCACTCTGCGTTGGTTTGATTCTTCTTGGTACGACCTTTGGAGGTCCACTTGCATACTTGTATTCTTTGAATCCATTTTTTGCGAATTTAAAATTTCTGACCAAAATCTCAAGTGTTGGTGGGAAACCAACAGACGAATTAGCTTTTGATTTTAAGTTTTTGCTAGATGAATTGAAACCATACTGAACTATTACCGGCATATGAATATTGATAAATAAGCAAAGTCGGTGACACACAAGTGAATTATTTCGTTAATGGTTTCTCACCTTTAGAACGAGCTGCGATTGTATTTTTAAGCGGAATTGTCCGGCTATATATGTATATAATTCTTATTACTACTTTTATCATTCCGTTCTAGCTGTTATCGCAAACTGCAAATTTCGCTTCGGCGTACCATTTTTTAGTGTAAAAACGAATTGATTTACTCAAAAAAGAACAGAAATGAAGAATCCATTCTCTCAAGCTCATCGTATCAGCCATCACTTTGACGTAACCCTCTTTTTTGTGAAATTTGTTTAAAAATATTAAAGAAAAAAAAATAGAAGCACTTCTTGCATTGTTGCCAAGTCTCAATTGTTCTGCTGGAAAAACATATTTAAAATGCAGTTTCAGATGTTATCATTTTGTCATTGTTATAACTTTTCGGAACGAAAATGCTTTAAAACCTATGCATTTGTTACCACTGTTACCAATTTAGCTGTCTCATTATAATTCTGATCAGTTAGTTTACAAAATTCTTGTTCGGGCGCCCCTCAAGGCTCACCACTTTTTATTCAAGATTTTCATTAATAACATTGCTAAAGATGTCGATGTTGGTTTTCAGCTGTTTGGAAGATTTTCTCAACAAGCCAAGTGTAACACCATGGGTGTAACTGTTAAATATGACTATCATCTTTTATTATAGAAGCATAACCAAATTTAGACTTAGGCAATCATATATCCTCCTCGCAACTGACTGGGCTATGCTTTCAATGTTGATAGTATAAGTGGCGCTAGACTAAAAGACTTGAAGTCTGATAAGTATGACCTGAGATACCTAATAACATTGTCATCAAAATTTTAATTCCTATTTATTGAAATTAGTACGTGCCAAAAAGTTCGGTTGTAAAAATCTAAAAAAAATCTTTTTTTTTTGAAGTTCTTAAAACATTTGCTGCAAACTAACAAAGAAATGACTTTTTTCTATACAGTTTTTCCATATTTTCAAAATGATTATAAAAGAAAATACAAACAATGTCAATTTATAATTTTTGATGCAAAAACTATGCCCAGGATGCAAATTTGACAAAACTAAAACAAAATGTTCCTATAATATGGGCGTAGTGGTAGATGTAGTGTTCTACCACGAATTAAATGATAAAGGTAATGTCCATGTTTATGCGAATTTAATTCATATTCCCTAAGGATTGAAATGTGCCTTTTTTATCGGGATCGGTATTTTTCTGTTATAAAAAATAGGGTAACATTTTTACGTCACGGAGTATAGATTTATTTTTAAATTTCCGCTATGTAAAAACCACCCCATTTGCTAATTAACTTCGCAAGGCAGTAATTCACGGCTGTCTCCAGTAAAAAAAGATAAATCTTTAGAATTACGGCTAACACATTCAAGATCAATAATTCTTGGAGACGGGGAATTTGAAAAATTTAAATACAGAAGTTATTTTATTTATAGAAGTTCTTCGCGATTTGTTCCTCCTCTTTTGTTCTGTTTCACTTGAAAACCTATTGCCTGCTTTTTCGAGTGGTACTTGCAGTCAAGGAATGCAGATTTGTTAGCGTTATTGCACAAATTTGTTTTAAGTTTAGGATCGTCGCTAAGGGTTCGCCGATGCAAATTTGCCGTCCTCTATACAGGGTGGACTCAGTTTCTTTGAACACGAATTTAATTATTTCTCCCTTATTTATCACTATTTTGAAAACATATTTCAATATATGTTGCATAAACTCAAAATATTCAAAAATATTTTCAATTACATAGATTGTTTCATAAAAGTCTGGTAATGAAACAACATATATATTATTATATTATATTAAATGGCACAACCCTTATATTTTGCATCTGACGACTCCTTTTAGAAATGTTTTTGTATGAATTTGAGGTTTTCCAATCTTAATGCGCTTTAAATACCTCATCAAGGGCTTAGTTATTATTTGACATAAACTTGAGCAAATTTAAACTGTTTTTTCTCTAATTGTATAAATGCAACTTTTGTTACATTCGAAACGTTTAAATTAGAACAAAAAATCTTCAGATTTTCACAGTTATTTATTAGTTCATAACAGCTGTTTGAGCAATACCGTGCCTTTATCAAATACAAAATATAACATTTTTCGGACATCTCTATTTTTAAACAAGTAGTAATAGACTCTTAGAGTGTAGGGTTATAAATTTAAATGTAACAATAAATCATTTAATCATTTAAGTAATAGACTCGAATATCTCATTTCGTTAATCTTTATAGCTTCCAACACATTTAGTATTATTCTTCTTGATTCTTTTTGTAAAATATCAAAATTATCGTCAAACTTTTTTGAATTTAATTTAAATAGGTAAATTGGAATTTTAATTTTTACAGGCTCTTTTATGTTCGTTAATGGGTTTCTTAAATCTTCTACCTGTTGTTGGATATGAATAGTTATAATTTTATCTGTCAAAGAAGGGTTGTAACCATTGTTTTATAATAATTAATTTTTTTCAAAATTTTCTATGGGAAGTGGTAGTAGTCTGCGGATAAAAGAATAAAAGGTAGCCATTATGTGTGTACTGTGTCCGTATGTGACGGTTTATAGTAAATGGAAAAATCTAATTGGTTCTGTAATTTAGATATAGTTAAGTATAGAAAGTTGAAAGAGTTATCTAGTTCCGTCTTTTTTATACGTATGTATGTATGTATGGAGTTAATACGATTTAAAAAGAAAAACTAATTTTTACTTAATGACCAATTGGATTTCAATGGGTCTCCGTTGTTAAATGTAAATTTATAACCCTAGAAAAACAGTAATTAAAAATATATTATTACCTGTTTATATATGTAGATTTTGGAATATTGTAATATTTTGTATTTTTTATTTAATAAACCAATAAATAACTGTAAAAATTTGAAGATTTTTCTTCTAATTTAATTTATTGTTTTAAATGGATTTGTATCAAGTAAAATCCACTTCAGTTCAATTCGTAACATTTACAAATATCAGTTAACTACTGAGCCCCGAATTTAAAATAAAAATTGTGCATTTGCAATTATTAATGTAAATAATTGCTTTAATATACTTAATATACCGTTTATTTAACAATACGTTTTGTTATTAGTAAATAACGAAGTACCTTTATTTAATTTAGATTAATTAACCAATATCGTTCTTTAGCAGCTTAATTTTTGAAAAATCATGAATAAAATTTTTTGGGGTATGGTCTGTTCGTAGATATAAGAAAGTGACCAATTGCTTTTGAATGGGATTATCCAAGGATGGTCATTAACATAAAATGCAACAAGATTATTATCTAAAGTTTCGGAATTTAAATTCAAGTAAAATTGTGGTCCGTAATAGAAAATAATTTTATAAGTACCTGTGTTTAATATTCTTTGGTTTGGTATACTACTTAGTTTAAGTTTATTATTAGTCATTCTTATTTCGTGTGTAATACAGCGTGCGTTGAATCGTTTGCGAATTATGCGAAATATGTGCGATTCTAGTTTATGTTAGGAGATGCTCCCGCCCAAATGTAGAAAACACTATTCTATTGAGACTAAGGGAGTTATAAATAATGTTTATTTGAATCTCATTGAACGTGGTGGCAGCAAGCAAGCATCTTTAGAAGAAACGGCCACATTGACGAAAATTCCAACATCAACTGTATGGAAAATTGTGAATAATCCCATTTCAGCGAGGAAAAAAAGAAGCGACGCTGACATTTTCTCGAGTGTAGATGAAAGTGATCAAGATATAATACGGCGTAAAATTTACCAATTATACGAGGAACAAAGCGTGCATGCATTAGATATCTTAATTAGGAGGCTTGAAAAAAATGAAACCGGTGTTAAATGTGGCAGAACTACCTTATGGAAGTGTATTCAACGCATGGGTTTTAGATTTAAAAAAATTGACAAAAGGCAAGTTTTAATGGAATCTTTTGGAATTCGAAAATGGCGACTGAAATATCTAGAAAAAAATAGGATTTACAGAGAACAAGAAAGGCCAATTATTTACTTGGATGAAACCTGGTTCGACACTTTTGATACCCCGGAAAAGGGTTGGGTTGACTCAACTGATAAGTGTAAAACAAACGCGCCATCAAACAGAGGTAAAAGAATAACTATTTTGCATGCTGGCTCTAAAGATGGTTGGATTCCAAATGGGCTTTCTCTGTCTGCGAAAAATATTAAAGATTCTTCTCTGGCTTACCATGAAGACACCAAAGCTGATTTATTTGAAAGTTGGTTTAAAAACAAACTAGTTCCAAACATTCCTCCTAATAGCGTCATTGTAATGGACAATGCAAGTTATCACAGTAGACAGTTGAAAACCCCTTCCTCATGTGACACAAAAGCAACAATCCAAAACTACATGTATTATAACGACATTTATTTTCACGAAGATTATACTAAAAAGCAATTAATTGAGATTCTACAAAGCTTGAACCTACAAAAGGAATACGTCTGTGATAATTATGGAAAAAATCTAGGGCATACAGTTTTAAGGCCACCACTGTATATTTAATCCCATTGAACATATTTGGCACCAATTGAAATCTGTCATTCTTCGTAACAATGTTTTTCCCCGTGTTAACTCCAGTGTCCTCAAACTTATAGAAACCGAAGTTTTTAACATCCATGCACAAGGTTGGGCAAGTTCTGTTAAACATATAGAAAAAGCAGAACAATCGTATATCCATATTGCAAATAATATAGAACAAGTAATAATTAGAACAGGCGATGATAGCGATAGTGATACTGATATATTATGTGAATAATTTTAAGTAATTTAAGTAGGTAATAAAAATAAATTGTAATTTTATTTTAGATTTAAACATAAATACATACATAAATAAATAAATATTGTTTAGTATCTTTCCTAACGAAACCCCAAATAATTAAATTCTAAGCAAAGTACGGACCTGTTCGGCCACATTTCATTCTTACAGCTTGCCCAGGTCTTTCCTAAATTCGTATTAGTTAGTCACTTTCTTATATCTATGAACAGACTTTACAACAGGCTATTCAGTAGTAACAAAAATATATTTTTAAGTAAGCATTTATGTACTACTATATTTTATATTCGGGGATCACTAGATAGCGATAGGTAGCTATGAAATAGATAGTTACCTTTGTGCGCCATTTTTTTTTTAAAGGAATAGTTCATCCAGTGGGCAAGATTCTGCCAAACCTGCCTTTATGAAATAATTACTCATAAAATAATAACATAATACCAGAACGCAGGAAGAATATGAAACCACTGCAAAAATTCTTTAAAATTCTCTTGTACTTGCATTACTTCGCGTATACTTTTGTTTAGAGAGGTAGACTTCTTTCTATATACAGATTGTCCCGAAATTAGTGGGTCAAACTATGACAGCATATTCCACCTCCAAAATTATAAAAGTCAAATTTAGGTCAACTTAACTTTTGAGGGCTACAGATAAAAAAAAGATTTAGACTTTTTACTTATAAAATCGGAAAAGTCGTATTCTGTTTCGAGAAAAAGGTACCC